TGGTTTTTTTTTTAAAGGGAGTCTCATTCTGTCAGCTAGAGCTACGTGGATTACCTGAGCTCAGGATTGTAGTGGCTTGATCTTAGCTCAATGCAGCCTCCGTCTCCAGGGTTCAAGTGATTCTCCTGCCTCAGCCTCCTGAGTAACTGGAATTACAGGCATGCGCCACTATGTGCAGCTCATTTCGTATTTTTAGTCAGGACGGGGTTTCGTCATGTTGGCTAGGTTGGTCTTAAACTCCCAACCTCCGGTGATGATACACTTACCTTAGCCTCCCAAAGAGCTGGGATTACAGGCGTGAGCCATCACGCCCAGCTAATTTTTGTATTTTTAGTAGAGATGAGGTTTCATCATCTTGGTCAGGCTGGTCTCGAACTCCTGGACTCCCAAAGTTCTGGAGATACAGGTGTGAGCTTCCACGACTGGCCTCCCTTTTATTTTTTTGCTGAGTCATAGGTTAGGAATTCCGGATTGAGCAAATACATACATATTTTGTAGATGACGGGAGCCAGATTTCATATTGCAAGTAAAGACAGATGCAAATAGGGAAGAAACCCTTCAAAGCCACCTTGCAGTGAAAACATAAAAATGAAAAGCAGCAGCTGGATGCGGTGGCTCATGTCTGTCATCCCAGCACTTTGGGAGGCTGAAGTGGGTGGATCACCTGAGGTCAGGAGTTCAAGACCAGCAGGGCCAACATGGAGAACCCCAATCCCTGCTAAAAATACAAAAACTAGCCAGGTGCAATGGTGTGCATCTGTAGTACAGCTACTGGGGAGGCTGAAGCAAAAGCAGCACTTGAACCCAGGAGGCAGAGGTTGCAGTGAGCCAAGATCGTGCCACTACACTTCAGCCTGGGCAATAGAGACTCTCTCTCCTAAAAAAAAAAAAAAAAAAGAGCCGGGCGCGGTGGCTCAAGCCTGTAATCCCAGCACTTTGGGAGGCCGAGGCAGGTGGATCACGAGGTCAAGAGATCGAGACCATCCTGGTCAACATGGTGAAACCCCGTCTCTACTAAAAATACAAAACATTAGCTGGACATGGTGGCGCGTGCCTGTAATCCCAGCTACTCAGGAGGCTGAGGCAGGAGAATTGCCTGAACCCAGGAGGCGGAGGTTGCGGTGAGCCGAGATCGTGCCATTGCACTCCAGCCTGGGTAACAAGAGCGAAACTCCGTCTCAAAAAAAAAAAAAAGAAAGGAGGAGGGATGGGATGGTCCTGTGGTGCTGGCCTGTGACGGTGCTACTGGGCCAGAGCGCACGGGCTTTAACACATCTGCCCCGAGACGGCGACAGCTGGACGGCGCCCACAGTGCCCTCACCTTGGTTTCTAAATGTCATTCTCCACTAAAGGGGCTGGGCGCAGTGACCCACACCTGTAATCCCAGCACTTTGGGAGGATAAGGCAGGTGAATTACCTGAGCTCAGGAGTTCAAGACTAGCCTGGGCAACATGGCGAAACCCCATCTCTACTAAAAACACAAAAATTACCTGGGTGTCGTGAAAAGGTACCTGTAATCCCGGCCACTCAGGACGGTGAGACATGAGAATCGCTTGAACCCAGGAGGCGGAGGTTGCAGTGAGCCGAGACTGTGCCATTGCACTCCAGCCTGGGCAAAGGGCGAGACTCTGTCTAAAAAATAAAACAAAACAAAAAATGACAACAACAAATCTCTTTCTCCACTAAAGTCAACCATGCTCCTTAGAGAAAGGACGATTCTAGGGCTGGGGTGGGAACAATACCAGGTGAGCCCGTCACGTCAGCTGGGCCAGCAAGTCTGCTCCAGGAATGGACTGGGCACCGGCCGAGGGCAGGCTCACGCACTTGGAAAAGCAGAGTAAAAGACACGGTAAACAATCCAAACCCCTACAAAAACAAGAGCCCACAGGGCCACGCTGAGGAACCAATGGCAAAGGAGGGGAAGTTCATCAGAGGAGGGACGGGATTAGAAGCCACCCTCTGGCGACCATCGCAACAATCCTAATAATCACAACCGAGTCACCAATGGACACTACAGCTACTGAGTCAAAGCTAAGAGAGCAGCTATGGGAGTCTCAAGACAGATCCAGCCCTATGAGGCATGTATCAATTACAGAGGGAAAACTATGCGCACACGAAGGATAAAAGACAGACGCGTCCTGAGAGGAGACGGGGACGTGGGGAGGGAGCGGCAGCATCCTCCCAAGACCTGAGGACTTGTACTTCAGTCTGAGAACTTGACGCAGGGATGGGCAAATAAAGAAATGGAAAAGAATAAGGGCCTCTGGCCGGGCGCGGTAGCTCAAGCCTGTAATCCCAGCACTTTGGGAGGCCGAGGCGGGTGGATCACGAGGTCGAGAGATCGCGACCATCCTGGTCAACATGGTGAAACCCCGTCTCTACTAAAAATACTAAAAATTAGCTGGGCATGGTGGCACATGCCTATAATCCCAGCTACTCAGGAGGCTGAGGCAGGAGAATTGCCTGAACCCAGGAGGCGGAGGTTGCGGTGAGCCAAGATCGCGCCATTGCTCTCCAGCCTGGGTAACAAGAGCGAAACTCCATCTCAAAAAAATAAAAAATAAAAAAAAAATAAGGGCCTCTAAGGCCAGGCGCAGTGGCTCACAGCTGTAATCCCAGCACTCTGGGAGGCTGAGGCGGGTAGGTCATGAGGTCAGGAGTTCAAGACCAGCCTAACATGGAGAAACCCCATCTCTACTAAAGATACAAAATTAGCCAGGCGTGATGGCGAATGCCTGTAATCCCAGCTACTCAGGAGGCTGAGGAAGGAGAACTGCTTTAACCCAGGAGGCAGAGGTTGTGGTGAGCTGAGATCACGCCATTGCACTCCATCCTGGGCAATAAGAGCGAAACTCTGTCTCAATAAAAGAAGAAAAGAAAAAAAGAATAAGGGCCTTGAAACAGGTCTACATACATAGGCCGCGCACGGTAGCCTCACGCCTGTAATCCCAGCACTTTTTGGGAGGCTAAGGCGGGAGAATCACCCGAGGTCAAAAGTTTAAGACCAGCCTGGCCAACATGGAAAAACCCTACTAAATACAAAACTCAGCTTCACGTTGTGGCGGGTGCTGGTATGCCAGCAACTTGTGAGGCTAAGGCAGGAGAATCGCTTCAATTTGGGAGACGGAGGCTTCAATGAGCCGAGACTGCACCACTGCACTCCCGCCTGAGTGACAGAGCAAGACTGTCTCAATAAAACAAAAACAGAGCCGGGCGCGGTGGCTCACGCCTGTAATCCCAGCACTTTGGGAGGCCGAGGCGGGTGGATCACGAGGTCGAGAGATCGAGACCATCCTGATCAACATGGTGAAACCCCGTCTCTACTAAAAATACAAAAAATTAGCTGGGCATGGTGGCGCGTGCCTGTAATCCCAGCTACTCAGGAGGCTGAGGCAGGAGAATTGCCTGAGCCCAGGAGGCGGAGGTTGCGGTGAGCCGTGATCGCGCCATTGCACTCCAGCCTGGGTAACAAGAGTGAAACTCCGTTTCAAAAAAAAAACCAACAACAACAAAAAAAACAAAAAACAAAAACAGGACTAGCACACGCACAATTCTGACCCACACAGGCGGTGCCACGAATTGTTGACGAAGGAAGCGTGTTCAGTCGACGATACCATGCCGCAGAAGAGAGAAACTGGATTTTGATTCCGTATCAGTTGACGATGATGATTAGTAACACTGACACAGCCCTCACTGTGGCGCTGGAGGAGGCCTCAGCACTCTGCACAGCAGTGAGTCCCCAAAACAGCCCATTGGGAACGGCGAGGTCATCGCCCATGCGAGACGAACAAAGTAAAGATGCGGCTTCATAGCAGCAGTGCCAAGATTTGAACCCCGGCAGCCTGCTCATATGTGAAACTCGTATGTGTAAAACCCTATGATCAGGAAAATATGTAAGAGAATGTCTTCCCGACCCTTTTTAGGGGAGGACCAGAATATCTCCAACCAGACCCCAAAAGCATGACCCATTAAAAAAAAAAAGGTCAGAATGACTAAATTTGCTAAATGAAGAATTTTGTTTCACCAAAGTATACCACAAAGTCGGCCGGGCGCAGTGGCTCACACCTGTAATCCCAGCACCTTTGGAGGCCAAGGTGGGTGGATCACTTGAGGTCAGGAGTTCAAGACCAGCCTAACCAACATGGAAAAACCTTGTCTCAACTAAAAATATAAAAATTAGCTGAGTGTGGTGGTGTGTACCTGTAATCCCAGCTACTCAGGTGGCTGAGACAGAGAACTGCTTGAATCCTGGAGGCAGAGGTTGCAGTGAGCTGAGATTGTAACACTGCACTCCAGCCTGGGTGACAGAGAAAGACTGCCTCAAAAAAAGAAAAAAAAAAAAGCACGCCTATAATCCCAGCACTTTGGAATTTAGGCAGATCACCTGAGGTTGGGAGTTTGAGACCAGCCTGCCCAACATGGTAAAACCCCTTAAAAATGCAAAAAATTAGCTGGGTGCGGTGGCTCAAGCCTGTAATCCCAGCACTTTGGGAGGCTGAGGTGGGCGGATCACGAGGTCAAGAGATCGAGACCATCCTGGTCAACATGGTGAAACCCCGTCTCTACTAAAAATGCAAAAAATTAGCTGGGCATGGTGGCGCATGCCTGTAATCCCAGCCACTCAGGAGGCTGAGGCAGGAGAATTGCCTGAACCCAGGAGGCGGAGGTTGCGGTGAGCCGAGATCGTGCCATTGCACTCCAGCCTGGGTAACAAGAGCGAAACTCCGTCTCAAAAAAAAAAAAAAAAAAAAAATGCAAAAAATTAGCCAGGTGTGGTAGTGGGCTCCTGTAATCCCAGCCACTTGGGAGGCTGAGGCAGGAGAATCTCTTGAACCCAGGATGCAGAGGTTGCAGTGAGCTGAGATCTCGCCACTGCACTCCATCCAGCCTGGGCGACAAGAGGGAGACACTGTTTCAAAAAAAAAAAAAAAAAAGGAGGAAGGTGCATGTTCCTTCTCTACTGACCTGTAACAGTCACCCCAGCTCAAAACAACACTTACCAGGTCAAAACAAGTGCTTTTGATCTTGGCTCCAGTGAGAGGAATCTGGGGGAAGCTTAGCCAAGTAGCTTGGGTTTACGGTCCCTCTTGAAGCTGCAGTCATAGCATGGACCAGGGCTGTGGCCTCATCTGGAGGCTTGGCTGGGGCTGGGCTCTGCCTCTGGGCTCACTCACACGGGCTGGCATGCAAGGCTGAGTTCCGTGCTGGCTGTAGGTGGAAATCCCCCCAGTTTCCGGCCAGGTGAGCTTCTCCACAGAATGGCCACAGCCTGGCAGGGGCTTTCATCACAGCAAGCTCGCCAGGGAGTAGGAGAGAGCACCCAGGACAGGTGCCCCAGCCTTTCTCAACCTCGTCTCAGACGTGACATCTTTCCCTTCCACTGTCTGGGTGCCGGTCTCCAGGTGGAGCTCTGGGACTAAAAGGAAAAGAAAACCTCAATTTAACATGAGATAAAGCCGCGGGAGCTGCCAGTCCCACCACGGCAATTTCAGCGCTAGGTTACTGACCAAGCTCACTTTCCACCCCGTCCAACTGTGCAGATCTCCCCTGCCCAGGCCCCTGTACCAGAGGTTAAGAATCCGAGCCCCAGTCAGGAAGTCCAGGTGGCTTCAAACAGCCAGAAGGGCATTTCAGGCAAAATGTGTCCCAAATCTCCAAACCATGCCCAGAACTCAAACCTCCCCGGGGGAGGTCATCCCGAGGAAACCACCTGGCAGCAGCTCAGGCTGCGGGGCAGATGCCACTTCCAAAACCCAGAAGCTGGAGACCACACAAGCACCTAGCACCAAAGGCGCCAGCGGAGGGATGCCCTGCGCCCCAGCCAGGTACCCCGCTGCACCCTACACATTTCACCAGGAAACATCTGTGATAGATGTAGACTAAGCCAGCCTGGACTCCCAAATCCGCTCATTTTATTTCCCCTCCATGTTCTGACTTGCTACACTGAAAACACGTGAGTGGAGTGGAAAGCCTTCCTATTCCTCTCTCAGCAACCCCTTTTCTTTTTTTTCTGAGATGGAGTCTTGCTCTGTCTCCCCGGTTGGAGGGCACTAGTACAATCTCCGCCTCCCAGGATCAAGCAATTCTCCTGCCTCAGCCTCCTGAGTAGCCGAGATGACAGGCGCGCGCCACCACGCCTGGCTAAGTTTTGTATTTTTGGTAGAGACTGGGTTTCACCATGTTGGTCAGGCTGGTCTCGAACTCCTGACCTTGTGATCGTCTGCCTCGGCCTCCCAAAGTGCGGGGACTATAGGCGTGAGCCACCGCGCCCGGCCGACACTTATTAAAACAGTCTCGTTTGGCCTTAAAGTGGGATTTGTAGGCTTCCTGGGTTAAGTAGGTTGCACTCCACTAAAAAAATAAAAATAAAAAAAACTAAAAAAATAAGAAGCCACCAAGCGGGGCCTCGGCTCTCAGGAGTTTTGGTGTCTTTTTCTTTCTTTTCTGTGGACGGGCCGCACAGCGTTCCCGGGCTTCAGGGCGTGAGGGTCGCCGCGGACCCTCGGACGGGAAAATGTGCAAACGCGTTTGCGAAACGCCACCGGCTCCCGGGCGGAAGCTGAGGGGTACGAATCCAGGGACACCCGCGTTTCCGCAGCGTTTTCCGCGCAAACCGCCGGCCACAGGAGAGGACCCCCAGGAGCGAATCTGGGCCGGGGAACCCCGGGCGCCCGCGCACTCTGCACCGAGCACCCGGCACGCAGCACCGAGCTCGCAGCACGCAGCACCCACCGACAGCCGGACGCGGTCTCCGCTGCGGGCATGGCGCTCGGCCTCCGCGCCTTCGCAACAAAGAGACGCCGGCGGGCGGGGCCCGAGAGGCGCGCGGCGGAGGCAGCTCCGAGCACAGGCCTGGCGGACCCAGGTGGGCTTCACGGGGCGCCCGCGGGGCCGGAAGTGACGCGTACAACCCGTCACCCGGCTCCTCGCCGCCCCCCGGGCGTGGCCGCGGAAAAGCGCCCCAGCCCACAACGTCCCCGCGGCTGCGCGTTGGTTCCGCGCGGGCCGTTCCACTGAAGGTAAATGAGGGGGAGAACACGGCGAGATTTTTAGTGTTCCCCCGCGGCCGCCCGTTGGTACCGCCCGGGCCTTTCCATTGCAGACGGACGGGGGGGCACCCCCGCGGCCCGTCCTTTGGTTCCGTCCGGGCCGTTCCACTGAAGGCAAATGAGAGGGAGAACACGGCGAGATTTTTAGTGTTCCCCCGCGGCCCCCGTTGGCACCGCCCGGGCCTTTCCATTGCTGAGGGACGGGGGGGGGGCATGACGCGCTCAGCCCACCCCCGCGGCCCGTCCGTTGGTTCCGCCCGGGCCGTTCCACCGCTGGCACTTCAGGGCGGGATGGGACACTCTATGGAGACAGCGGCCTCGGAGGGTTTGCCGCCCAGGTCTGGGTTCCAGGAATAGGAAACCCATCGGGTAGGCTTAACTTGGAAGACTCAAGGGCGTCTCCTGGCGGAAGTGGCCACGCTCCACCCAGCCCGAGGGGAAGCGTCGGGAGCAAGCTGCGCTCGGAGCTGCAGGGGGCGGCGCCGCCGCGCCGCCGAGGACCCGCCCCAGGGCGCTGATTGGCTTGTGGCGCGCTCCGGGGCGGGGCCTCCGCTGCCAGGCGGGCGCGGGGGCTGCTGGGGGGACGTCCGGGGCAGACACACCTGCGGCCCCGGGGAGCCGCGGCCGTCCGTCGAACGTTTTCCTCGCCTTACTTTCCCGCATTATTTTCAGGAACGAACTTTCGGCCGAAGGGATCTTTAGAGATGATTTTTGACGCGGTGCAGCGGCTCCCACCTGTAATCCCAGCACTCTGGGAGGCCGAGGTGGGCGGATCGCCTGAGGTCAGGAGTTCGAGACCAGCCTGGCCAACATGGCGAAATCCCGTCTCTACTAAAAATACAAAAATTAGCCGGGCGTGATGTTTTTGAGACGGAGTCTAGCTCTGTTGCCCAGGCTGGAGTGCAGTGGCACGATCTCGGCTCACTGCAACCTCTGCCTTCCGGGTTCAAGCAATTCTGCCTCAGCCTCCTGAGTAGCTGGGATTACAGGTGCCCGCAGCCATGCCCCGCTATTTTTTTTTTTCGTACTTTTTAGTAGAGTTGGGGTTTCACCATATTGGATTGGCCAGGCTGGTCTCAAACTTCTGACCTTATGCCCCGCTCGCCTCGGCCTCCCAAAGTGGCGTGAGCACCGCGCCTGGCGACAGTTTTTCTCTAATGTTTGTGTGAATGACGTGAGCTGTATCTGTACGAAGAACACGGACCTGTTGTATCGCTGCAGATGTCTTCCTAGCTTGCGTGTCCTCTTCTGTTTATGATGCATATTGATGAATTTCTGTTCACAGGACGTGGAATCAATTAGGAATCGGGAGGCTCTGGCTGTGAGTGAGACTGATAGGTCCAGGCACGGTTCAAACCCCGCCCCCGAAGCGTGTCCCTGGCCCCCCGGGATCCTCCAGAATCTGCTGCTGCTTCGACACAGCCTGTGCAGAGCCCTCCACAGCCTTCCTCGGCCTGGCGGCTGTCTGCTGACCTCAGGAAAGGCTCTTCCCAGGGTGAGGGGCCCTTGGGATTCCTTTCCTCTGCCTTCAGGGCCTGGGTGATCTTCTAGAAGGCGGGAAGGAAAGCAGTCATGGCTAGTTCTGCGCCACCCCCGTGGGGTCCCCCCGGCCCACGGACTCCTGTGTCCCCCAGCCAGGCTCGGTCTAGTTCTGGGCTCCCTCTGGGTAGGGAGCGTGAGTCCTGCCCTCCTAGAGGAGCTGAAGCTCCCCAAGTGATGTTGAGGACGGCAGGGAGGCGTGGACAGACGCCCCAGAGAGTGGGGTCCGTGTTAGGGTCTGGCAGGCGTGGGGGAAGAGCAGAGGGTCCCTGCCTGGAGACCCAGCCTGCAGGCCACTCGGCCACCTGCCGGTGGGTGGGGAGCAGCAGCCACTCACGCCTCTGCAATGTGTCCTCATCAGCAGGTGGGGAAACTGAGGCCGGGGAGTTTTGCAAGCCAGGGTCACTCGTGGGCAGGTTCCCTTGGCCTGCAGACCTTCCAGGCTCGGGCCGGTCGTGCTTTCCTGTGCCATCCTGTTTCCCAGAGCACACCGCTGTGTGTCTCTGAGGGTGTGTGTCCACGGCATCCATGTGTATTTTTCTGTGTCTGAGTCTGTGTGGTGTGTGTGTTATCTGTGTGTCTCTGAGTGTGTGGTGCCTGTGTGTGTGTCTTAGTCGCATCCATGCGTATTTGTGTGTGTGTGTGTATGTGTGTGTGAGTCTGTGTGGTGTCTGTGTGTCTCAGTGGTGTCCATGTGTATTTTTCAGTGTGTTTGTGTCTGTGAGTCTGTGTCTCTGTGTGTGTGAATCTTTGTGTCTGTGTCTCTGTATGTGTATCTCTGTGTATGTGAATCTGTGTTTGTGTATGTGTGTGGAATCTGTGTCTGTGAATCTGTGTCTGTGTCTCTGTATGTGAATGTATGTTTGTATGTTTGTGTCTCTGTGTGTGTGTCTTTGTGAATCTGTGTGTCTGTATGTGAATCTGTGTGTGTGTCTTTGTATGTGAGTCTCTGTTTGTATGTCTGTGTCTCTGTATGTGGGTTTGTGTGTCTTTGTGTGGAATCTGTGTGTGCCTGTAGGTTTGTGTGTGTCTGTTAATCTGAGTCTGTGTCTCCGTGTATGTGAATCTGTGTGTGTGTCTGTGTACATCTGTGACTCAGTGTGTCTCTGTGTGTGTGAATCTGTATGTGTATTTGTCCATCTTTCTGTCTGGCTTCCTGTCCCTCTGCACAGAGCAGCGGAGTGGGGATCTTGGTCCTGGGGGCTTCTCAGCAGGATGTGGGCCTGGGCAGCCATGGGTGAGGCCTGAGCACAGGCCCACATGCCTACTGCGTGGGGGTGGCCGAGCCAGCTCCTCTGTGGCTCTCGGGTCCCCACACCACCCCTCCCTGGGCGCTGCCTGTCCTGGCCACCCCTCCTGTCCACCCTGCTTCCTCAGGGACCACCTTCCTCTCTCAGGTGCATGCCCTGGTGGTGGGGCCTCCTGGGGAGGCTGTGGCCTCTGTTTACCCGGTCTTGGCTTTTTGGTGTTGCCAGACCCTGCAGGCAGCCCAGGCCCTGGCCAAGGTCCTTCTGGGGTGGGATGTGCTGGAAGCGGCTGATCCACAGGGACCAACTAGCCCCTGCCTTCCCCTACGTCCCAGCACTGCCAACCTTCCCGGGCACCCTGTACCCATCCACCCGGCTCTCTCAGATCCTGCCACTCACCTCCAGCCAGACTTCCAGTTCCAGGGTCCAGGCTGCCTGGGCTCCCAGCGGGACAGGCCTTGCCCAGACCCCGCAGGTGCCATGGGACTTGGGCTGGGTCTTTGAGCCTGGCTGCCGCCCCTTTGGGCCTGGCCTGAGGAGACTCCATGGCTGAGGGAGGCAGGGTGGGGGTGCCCGGCCCAGCATAGAGGTACCCAGGGTGCAGGTAGGGACCCTGATGCCACCGCTTCAGGCTGGAAAAGGTTTCCAAGGCCCTGAGCCTGCGGCCGGCAGCCTTGTGCAGCCACACCCATGGAGTGGGGCCCGAGGATGTCTTGGGGCCTCTGTGCTCCTTAAAGCCAGGAAGGTAAGGCATGATTGACAGCCTCTTCCAGGCGGAGGGAGGCAGGGAGGCTCCAGGGCTGATCCTCAAGAGCCAGTAGGGAGGGGCCCACAGCCCAGGCTTTCACGTCCCCAAAACGGGCAGGGTGCCAGGGGCACAGGTGCCCACAGGGTGGTCGTTTTGCGTTTTGGTCTCTCTTGGCCTTGCACGTGTGTAGCGCAGACTGGCGCCTGGCAAAGCCTTGTGCCACATTCATTTGGGGTCTTGTTAGGAGAACAGGGATGGGGGGCTGGGGGATGGCACAAGGACCTGGTCATGGCACATGACGTCTCCGGAGGGAAGAGGGAAGCCGACGTCAGTGCCTACGCTGGGCCGCAGGGCCAGGGGTCCTCACCTGGCTTGTGGCTGCGCCTGACATAGGCAGCCTGGATGGAGGGGCCCTTCCAACTCTGCTGGCCCCGGGGACGCAGGGACTCAAGTCCCCTCTGGTCTGTGGCCCTTCTGGGAGCAACACAGCCTGCCCAAGTCGACTGGCCCCTCAGCTTCGCCCCTTCTGTCGAGGGCTGGGCTCCGCGGACCCCCCAGGGCAGCACTCCCCCTCCCGCCCAAAAGAGGCGGCAGCACCCCCAGCCCTGGGGACACCACACAGCCCCTTGGGAAGGTCACCCCGCCGGCCATGTGTCGTTAAGGGATGGGCATTTCTGGGCTGGGATTTAATGGGGTGACCCTGCGCAACCCCTCTACGTTGGTTACAAGGTGTCAGAAGAAAGCTGTTATTAACGCAACTTCTTTTTTACAAGTCTTGTTTATTGAAAGGATCTGAAAATTGTAGTAAGGCTTTCAATGACATTTAATAAATTTTCAAGAAATTAATATGAAACATTAAAATGTACTTAAAAAACAAAGTTTTCTAGATCATTCCCGTCTCAGGCTGCTTCAGAGCTCAGTTCACGCCCTTTTTGTTCAATGAGTGACTGGAATTCCGAACGTGGCTGTCTTCTGGCCCTAACGCCAGGCACTGGTCCCTCTCTCCTCCTGTGCCCGTGGCTGGGTGGGCGGGGGCTTCACCTGTGCTCAGGGTCGTGGCTGACGTACAGCCAGGCCCACTGCCCAGAATCACACTCGGGGATTTTGGACGCTCAAGTTCGCAGATGTTGAGGTGCCCAGATGGGGGTGAGCAGGGCAGGCACGTGCGTTGGAGAAGGAGCCTGGGCTGGGCCAGGTGGCTGCGGGCAGCACCTCTCCAAACTTCCTGTTCTTACAATCCAGCAGATGAGCAGGTACTCAAAAATAGACGCCTGGGCAGCAGCGACCAGGACCCCAGGCCCTGACCACGACCTCCACACACCTGTGTCTGCTGTGCCTGTGGAAGACATGGGCACCAGGGCACGCAGCAGCCACATGCAGGCCGGAGGCTCATGGGAGAGGCAGGAGGAAAATCAGTGTGTTGAGTCCTTCGCTTGGGTTAGTCTCAAGATTCTCATGACAGTTGCAAAACAAAAGGGATCAC